GCACAGAAAGCCTCTTCTGACTTGTGAGAGCAGCTGTGACTTCAGCATTTGCTTCCTGTATTTTGCTGCTTACTCAGACACCCTACATTGTCCCTTCCAGCCCAGGGTGGCTACAGCTCCACAGAAGTGCTCAGAGGTCCAGCTGGGCTGGAGAGCAATGGTCATTCCCTTTTCCCTTTGTTATTTGGCAGATGGATACATGCCCCAGGGTAGAGGTCAGTATTAGCACTGATACTGGGAATCACATAGAGGCACCTGCTGGAGGGAGGAAGAAGGGAGATGGAATGGCAGCTGTTGAAGGGAATGACTGTAAAGATACCCATTCAAGCAACACCTCGCAGAAAAATAAATTTCCTTCTGTTCACCTATACCCAAGCAGACTTCACAGTCAATCCCCAAGGCTGATGAAATATTTTTTCCATAAACCCCAGCAGAGCTGAGGTAAGAACAAGCAGTCTGTCAGCACCAAAGTGCAAAGTAGAACATGAAGCGCCAGAAACTTCTGGGATCAAAGTTGCTGTCATACACAGGCTTTTGATGGCTAAACAACACAACAGCCAACAGGTGTAGAACCCTCAAAAGCCTGTTCATTTTCCATCTGAGAGTCAAAGGGGTTTTTCCAACATCTTGAACAATCACTTTTAACTTAATAACCACTTTAGTTTGCCTGTCACATAGATGGATACCAAAACACAGCATTTCTTAGATTATCAGTAACATCCATTCAAAACCATTCACCTTTAGGAAAAATAGAGCCAGAAAGTACTCAAAAACTGATATTGCAGGATCTGGCAAATTCATAGTGTACCCTCTACCTAAGGATTTGTCCTGTTAGCTTCATTTCATCCTTTTGAAACTTATGGATTGAAGCAAGCACTGTATGACCGACATATTCCAATGCAGCAACTTCATTCAATTCCATTATTGAATAAAAATAGGAGAAAATGTCACCCTCTACTTGTAATATGCAACCACATTCACTGATCACTTCAACAACTGCAACTCTGCATGCAATACTGCTCAGGTATCCACATTTCAGGAAAAAAAAAAAAAATTGAGATCCAAGTGTTACACAGTACCAAAATATTACCAGCAGGCTATTTCCATAAAAACTCTGCAAAATCTTTTTTTGCCAAAGCAATTGTAATATTTTACCATCAAACAAAAATGTTTAGATTCTTCAAAGTCAAGCTTGAGCTGATGGCCCCTATTTCTGTTAGTGTAAATTTGTCTTAGAGCTGTGAATTGCTTTTAAAAGTGAGGTATTGACTGAAGATTATGCTCAAGATACTATATTGTCATTACACATCACCTTGCTACAATTGTTTTCCACTTTGACAGACATTAGCTCAATTTCGCTCTATGCAGAATTCTGTTGTGTTCTGCCAGTCTCTTGGTATCAGGAAGTGTTTGCAGTGCATAGCAGTTTATTGATGTAGAATAGGTAAAGATGTAGCTCAAGGGTAGTAGGACTTTTAAGAGGAAGTAATAATTGAGGATTTTCAGAACCATTCTTCCAAAAAAGGATTTTGAGATAGGAGTCAAGGTAGAAACCTAAAGGATAGAGAAAAATTACTTATTCACAATCTGATGGTTTGATTTACTACATATGGTATGTCATAAAACAATTAAGTTTAAATTATTCACTGCATTTAGTTATATAAATGCAGTACTTCCCCTTTTCTTCAGATCAAATAGGCTGCAACAAAAAATAAAACATTCTGAAGCAGTCTGCTTGTTTCACTTTCCTACTACTTTGATACTTACAGAACTATTTCTTCCAGTTGCCTCAGATTCTTCCAAGAAAACAAAAGCCTGCAACAGTGTACTGTTTTTCTACACAATAATTTCTTATTTTATGGCTATTTTGGAAGACCATCTTTAAAGATGTAGATACTCTTAACATGAGTTAAGGGCTGTCTCCAAATGCATTAGAGCAGCATAACATTTTGTACTCTAAATTCATCTTATCTGTTCTGCAAAAGTTCCACCAAAAGCTCACCTATGCACATGTTCTTGATCACTTGAGTGCTGAAGTTTTATTACAAGACCATAAAGGAGACTTGAAGCAGCAGCAGATGCAACTACCTGCCTTTAAAAGCTTCAGCTAAATCCTAAGAAAATTTCAGGGCTCTAGAACTAGAAAACTTGGACTCAATGATGCTTGTGGGTCCCTTCCAAATCAGCATACTCTGCAATTCTTTGTGAAACTCCTTTGAACATCTTCAAGAGCACAGACTCATCACAATTGTGGCAGTAGGAAACTGAGCCAGACAAGGCCTTGCACTGTAGATAACAGAAAAAATGAGATGGCAAAAACATACAGGTGGGAATCAGGATATTCACCTAGACCTGTGAGAAAACCTACAGCTGCTGCTCAGTGCCTAGTTGTGATCAAATAACAGTGAAAAAAATCTATCAAGGACCATATTCTAAGGCTTCTGAGGCTGCACAGAAGTCTCCTATTTCCCAGCAATGATTTAGACTCCCGTCCTCCTTTTCTGTTTCAGGACCAATCTTTCCTTTCTATTGGATGAATTCTGCTACCTCTGTGGGAAGAGACCAAAAAAGCTTCGAAGAGCCAGTAGTGGGTGGAGTGCTCCTGTTTTCAGTCTGTTGTACAACAGCACCATCCAGCTGTCAAACAAAAAATTATCAAACCTTAATGCCACTATACAGACTTAGTCTTTGTATCATAAGCAAAATGAGTAATTACACATATTAAAAAAAAATTACAAATTAAAAAACAAAACACAACCCTCAGGTCCCTTCCCTGCTTCTTAACTAATTACTGTCCACTGTGTTATGCTTTCTGAGTTTATATACAAGAGTGTGCTTTAGAGAAATTAAGAATTCAGCCCCGATTTTTTTTTGTCCAGTAAGAGTGGCAGGATGTCCAGTGAAGTGTGGAATGTAAGCTCTCAGGTATGAGGAAAAGACTATTATCTTTGGCTCACAACCAAAGATAGTTAATCACACTACAAAAACTAATGGAAAAATCTCAACTCGTAAGAGCCTATGATTTAGCTATCACACTCTACCACTCGAGCTTCAGTAGTGAAAGCAAGAACCTCAACCTCAAGTGAGGGATAAAAATAATAAAATCACATACTCAAGTAAAAGATCACTCTTGAGAGACATTACGTCACAAGGAAGAAAACTCCATGCTCTCCCATGATTTTTCATAAACCTGTGTTATTTAACAGTAAGGCATATGCAATGGAAATAAATGGCATTCCCTACAACAGATGACTGATTACCTGAATTAAATCTACTAAAGGTCACTGCCTAAATTGCTCTCCGTTCTACACTAAACTAATTTTTGTTCTAACATCCACAGGGAGCTACCACGTGCATCCACTGATGATTGGAAGTCTGATGTTAGACTACTGCTCCTGCATTACACACACCTTAGTGCATCCTGTGATCCCATATTCTTGCATTGATACCTGAAGGCAGTAATGCATCTCCTTTTCTGATTTTTTGAAGACCAGTACTAGTTCTTTACAAACACTTAAAGCAACACAGGGTACCTATCAATGGCAAAAGACAGGCCAGTCATCCTTCAAAAGAAAACAACGCTAGCAGAAGCTTCTTACATAAATATTGTCAAGAAAAAAACCCAACTTCTAAGTTCAACAGTTAACCTGAGAGAAAGAGCATTTCTACGTGCAAAGGGAAGGTGAAAGGAAGTCCCAGGATAAATGAGATAATTTTAAGGAACTTGAGCTTATGCAAAGAAGAATTGGCATAACCACATCAAGAACGAGATGATGTTTTTCTGGCATATATTTAAAATACACTGTAGATTTTAACATAAGCCCAGAATTTAAGAGCACAGCAGCAGAAAAACAGCAAGCACTAGAATAGTAGCTAAAGCCATAGGAGCAAAGAACACATCCAAAGATACAGCAGAGGTGGCAAAAGACAAACCTGTGCCAAGTAGGAGAGAAGGTGCCCTTAGACAAGCAAGGCAGCAAAGCCAGAAGAGTCCGAAGAGACACAGTCCTAAGGAAGAGGACAACAGCTCCCCAAAATTTGCAGATGAACAAGAACATCAAAGTGAGGTGTGGTTAATGAGGAAGTATTATGGCTAAGTTTAATGGAAGCAAGTTCTCTCACTGTGAGAGAGCAGAGAACACGCAAGCTTCAAAACGAGATGTACTAGAAAGTCACTGCAAGACTACATCATTAGATCAGAGACAGAACAAAGGTAATGGAAAAAAAACTGCAATGAGAAGAGACCAGAATGTTAAAATTAGTCAAAAAAGAACTGGTGTCAAATAGGAAAAAGAAAAAAAGGAGGAAAGACTGGTATGTGGGAAGGTATTACAAGGTGACAAGGATGTGGCAGAAAAGAACATGCCCTTGAATCTAGAATGAAAATATCTTCAGCTCTACACACAGGGAAACAAAAACAAACAACCAAAACCAAAAAAACAGCTAAAGACAACAACAAACAAACAAAACAACTACAAAAAGAAGAAAATGTCAAAGTTTCTGCTTTGAACAAAGAGAAAGTAATTTAAAATAAAGAATCTTATGATCTTGGTGGAAGAAAGTACATTTTCCTTGCCAGGAACTGACGAGAACTTGTGACATGCCTAAAGGCTGCACAGCTTTGCTTGGAGAATTACATACTCAATGGCGTTGAGTTACACTCTCATTCCAACAGAGAGGGTAGAATAAATTCATTTCAAAACTCAGATGTAGATGGAGAACAGAAAGGAGAAGCAAAAGCAGATTTTGTGGAGTTACTAGACAGTGGAAAGAAACAAGACAAGCCAGACAGGAGAAACAGAAAGCCATGAAGTCTTTCCAAAACAGTCTAAATAGAGAGACAACACTTTTACACCATCCTTCATGAGGTCAGCCAGAGTTCTGCCAAGTTGATCCCAGTAAGAATTAAAGGATTTCACATGGAACCTGAGCTCATGACAGTAGTTTTTCTGTTTTATCACAGGATACAAGCTTTTAAGCCAGGACACCAGAAGGCAAAAAACAGTTTCCACTAGACAGCAACCTGTTTATATTTATTAGTTGTTCAATTTAGCTAAAGAATCAACCTTATTTAAGATTAGAGTACCTGTTTAAACTGAGCTTTGTAATCTGGTATGAGTAAGCATTTCCAAACCCCAGGTTTCAGCTGTCCAGAGTCTTAGATAGATGTACTATAGTTAAACCTGCTATGTCACTCAGAGGATCTGTTTACATGTCTGCAAGTCCCCCCTGCCTGCCCGCCACCAAAGTATCTATTTACTATCCACAGAAATTACTATTCAGCTCAGACCTGAGCAGTTCAGTTTTATCTTCACCAGTCTCCCTAACCTTCTAACAAGCAAAACTTGCAGATTTGATTAACTGCAAGCTTCTGCTGTCACTGACAAGTACAGCGGCAGACCTAATGATAAGCTTGCTGGATTTACGATTTTAGTTCAGGAACAGTCTTATTTTAACTGGGGACACAGAATACAACACAAGTGAAAATAGGGATAAAATCACACATGATAAATCCATACTATTGAGCAGAACAGCTAAGTGCAAGAAATATGTTGCATGCACTAGCTTCTCAACGGCCTCCAGTTTTAGAACTTAGAACCACACTGCAATGCTCACCAATCCCATCTTTTCAAACAGACTTTCTGCATGTCCCATTAATTTTAGATTTATAATTTCACAGCAAGGTAGTTTCTACTTCCAAAAGTTCCTACAGAAGTTGCACTATTACCCATATCTTACAATAAAAAGAGGCCAGGCTCCTATGACAGGAAGTATGAGTAACCCAGGAAGTTCTATCCTAGAAAGCTCACACATTTCAAAATTTAAGATCTTATTTTAATCCAAGGTATGGCAACTGTAAAATCCAGTTCATAAAATGGTAACTAGCTGCTGCTAAGTCTTCTTATGTACAGCGACAACAGTCAATGAATTCAGGTTTCTAGTTAGTAGAGCTTCCCCATTGAGTCCAAGATTTTCTTTCTTTCTTCTGCTGGGGGCATCTCAGGTTTCACACCACTTCTCTTCCTTTGCATCATAATTTCATGCTGAAAATAGAACAAAGAGACCATGAGAACAGATTTCACAGAACCTCTGCTCCCGAGCTCTAATCAAACAAGGTTCTTTAACTGAAAAATGCTTTATATATCAAGACCTAGGTACTCTAAGCCTGATTAGCTGATAGCTAAACATACTACTAGTTAGTTCAAGACACCTGATAGTTTACCTTGCTGCTTCAAAATACAGTGCAATCAGTATTCCCATTACTAGTGTGCCAGACTAATGCACCATCATCTGTAAATAGTTTTTTTTTGGAATTTGTGTAAGTATTTAAAGGCTAAGCTAAAACCTCTTTACTACAATGATATAAGGAAAGGAAACAGCACAAAACAGTTTAACAGCACATAGTTCCTTTTGATACTTCTCTACCACCAAATAAGCTTTATATTATATTATATAGGTTAAGGTAAACACAACCCAAACCAGTGGGAGACCAGATAACCTTACCTTTCCTCAGTACTTTTTCATTGCATCTGTTTAAAAGAGAACCTATTACTAGAAATATGTGACTCAAGTTCAGAAGAAAACATCAGGTACTGCAAGAACACTGACTCACAATATAAGAGAGTAAACTCAGAACAACCAAGTGAAGTACTTTGATGTTCATGTGCTTAAGTCTTCCAGCAATGCATACTGAGACTACCTGGGCTGGTAAGTTACTGTAAAAACATCATTAGCCAAGAGTGAAGGGTTCAGAAAGCAGCATGTCAGAAGTAATACACATAAAGCAAAGCAAGGAGTAAAAGTTAAGAAGTTTACTGTGCTTACCCAGAATTTTCTGCAGTTTTTGTACTTCAAAAAATAATCAGTACACAGATCCTTGTTATAGTTGTTGTCATTCATACATTTTGTAGTGGCATCTGTTTCCTTTAATAGGGGAAAATATACTTCAGAGCTGAGGGAAGTTACTGTGCTCAATGTTTAAACATTTTAACAGGTCCCAGAATATCTATAAAGATAGGATTGAGCTCCTCAGAAAGAACACTATCAAAGAGAGCAAAGGAACACCTATTACAAAGGATCATCAGTACTTCCAAGCAGTGATTTCATTTGGAGATAACAGAGAATAGTACTCTTCAGAGTCCACAGAATAGTTGTTTACAATGATGCTTGGTATAACTCATAAAAGACTTTTAAAAAATAACCAAGCTTGTCTAACCAGGATTTCAGGCTCTGGTTTTAGGGACAGAAAATTTAAGAGACTGCTATCAGTTGAATTACTCCTCCTTATGGGGAATTACTTGCTATTTCATGCTTATTATAGTGGATGATTTTCAGCCCTTCCCATCTTCAGACTCTTAAGAAACTTTTAATGCAGAGTGTTCTATCCACAAAACAGCCCTCCAGAAAGTGCATTACTTAACATTGAAATGTACAGACAGAAATCTCAATTTGATCATCTTACCGCTATACATGGATTTATATCATGATCTCTAAGCTTTTTCGCATGCCTGGACATTCTAGACAGATACTCGTACCTTGGTTAGAAAGGGAAAATAAACAGGTTAAGTATCTACTTTTAACAGTAACTCAGGATTAAGTCTGAATTTCAGGATGCTATAAAGGCCTTCTAGTAACCCAGTTTGGTTATCTTTTTTAACAAACAAACCAAAGAAAACGCCAACTTCTTTTGCAAAGCGTTATTTCAAAAGCAGTAACAGCAAGACAACATTGGCAAGCTTAGCCCATCACCAAGACTGCTCACTCCCTGATGAATTCCTGCAGAGAAGGGAGCCACTGCAGCAGCTCTCTCTCTCCTGTGTATCATGGAGGAAGTGACCATGTGTAGGAGAAACAGCTCCATAGAAGCTGTTCACAGCCAACACACTGTAGACACTTCAATTAATAGCGTGTGGGAGGAATGTACAAGTGAACTTTTCCAGATTTGTTCCTACTCCTTAGCTGGATCACATCTGCATCTTCACTGAGCTTTCTCAGGTATGACAAGTGCCCAACTATCTCCTGTGTTACTGTATCAAACATTTAACAGAAAAAGAACTGGTTTCACCGCAAGGTGGGACCAGACCCACTTACACTGTGTATGACAGCTTGAATCACATTTTTTACCATTTAGTAGCCTAATGCCGACTCTAGGAACTGTAAGCTTGAGAGACACAGAGCTCAGTGCCAAGAATCTGCACTGATCCAAGATGATGACATCAAGATGAACAACAGACCCTCGCTCCCTTTACAGCTTCCTATCCATTGCCTCCGGCACACACATGGCGATACAGGTACGTGCTCCAAACAAATACTAAACCTAACAAAAAATAAATTAATGTTGACCAGATGACTGCTTGCATCAATGCAATCAGAAACATAGGACAGAGGGAGAAAATTAAAGTACTGCTAATGAAGGACACAGCTTAATCTCGTTTTTTACTTTTTCAAAAAACATTGATGCTAATTCTTAATTAAGACCTGTTTCTGTGCACATTAGGGAAGGATAAGTGCAAGTCTGCAGTAAAAAGCCTGTTTTGCTTGATACCAGATTTAAAATAAAAAAAAAAAAAATCAAACACTGCTCTTTGTAGCTCACAGAAGACCATGCATGGGGTTTCTTCTTTGGGTAAGAGTAATCTATCCCCAGCAAACAAGCCTTAGGTTTAACAAGCTGTGTATGTATACTTTCCTGGTGCTTGGAGTACTCTTTGCTTTCCATATGATCATCTTCTGCAAATGGGCCTTTTAATGAACGGCATAGGGGGGCAGAAATGCTTTCACTTTCCTTTGAGAACTATCCAGTGCTTAAGTTAATTTCACAAGCTAAGCAAATGTTCTTTTTTGGTGGGTGGAAGTGCTTTTTTGATCAGGCACTTCCAACTCAAATGGAAACACAAGCAGGTATACTAGCATCATCACAGACTTCAGGAACAGAGGAGGGGAGAAGTACGAAGCAAAAGCAGCATACCACAATGCCTCACCTAACTCACCACAACAGATACAAGATTTGTGTATGTTTGTATGTGTCTGTGTTATAACTCTGCATTTAATTGTTATTATCCCCTAAGCAGACATGCCTCAAGGTGTACAGTGTTAGTCTGACTTCAGACTTACTCTCTGAAAGAATACTTTTGAGTCATAGGACATGCCATCATAATCACACTGTTCTTTATACAAACTGCACTTGACACTTTCAGTTTGATTACCCTACCAGAGTCTACAACCTTGCCTAGTCTAAGGAACAATGCACACAATCCATTAAGCACCTACTTAACGAACAAGCAGTTCAGGTCCTAATGAAGATGCACAGCTCAGAGCAGGCAAATGCTTAAACATTCTTAGCACTACCCAAAAGGTCTGATAGCTCCTGCGCGTGTTCCTCTCTCCCCCTCTCCGAAGTACTTCAGACTTGAAACACTATCAGCTGGAAGGGCAGGCGGGTCACGCCGAAATGCTGCTGTGTGACCGAATGAGCAGTTGGGCAGGAAGCGAGCTTCCTCCTCCTCCCAGGTTTTGCACATGCACGGGCTTCCCTTCCTGCTTTCAGATTACAGGTCGGAGCCCAACCACAACCGAAGGCTTGTCTATTCTATAGTTCTTAATTACGCTTTAACACATTAACAGTTGTAAACTGTACCACAGAGAACCAGGGCTGTTGCTGGCACTCTTTAACCCTAGGGCTTTTTCAGTTCATAAACCATCAGGGCACTTTACTACAGGCTCCCGCCCATTGAAAAGCGTTTGGCCTGCTTTAAATGCACACATATAGTTACAAATGCGCTAAATATGCTGCAATATAGACCAGCTCGTTAAAACTTTGAGCCCTGGAGCCGAGGCCGTACTAAAAATCCTGCCGCTTTTTGGGCTGTTACGGCGGCGCAGGCAGGAGGAGGCAGCCGGCGGGCCCTGAAGCTCAGCACCGCGGAGCTGCCGCCTTGCCCGACTCCGCTCCCCGGCAGGGCCGGGGGCCGTCCAGGTGCGGAGGCGAGGCCGGCAGCCCCCGCCCGGTCCCTGCCTTCCGCCGGCGGCGGAGCGGCCGGAGGTGCCCGGGGA